GACCAAAATAGAACTTTTTGGTCTTAATTCCACTCGCCGTGTTTGGAGGACGAAGAATGATGAGTACCATCCCAAAAACACCATCCCTACTGTGAAGCATGGGGGTGGAAGCATCATGATTTGGGGGTGTTTTTCTGCACATGGGACAGGACGACTGCACTGTATTAAGGAGATGACCGGGGCCATGTATTGAGAGATTTTGGGGAACAACCTCCTTCCCTCAGTTATAGAAGCCCAGATTTCCTTGATGCCGTCAGCTCTTCTTTGTTGTTGGGTCTGGTGCCCCTCATTTTCCTCTTGAGAATGCCCCATAGATTCTCAATGGGGTTTAGGTCCGGCGAGTTGGCTGGCCAGTCAAGCACTGTAGCATCAAACCAGGTTTTGGTGCTTCTGGCAGCACGGGCAGGGGCCAGGTCCTGCTGGAAGATGAAATGTGCATCGACATACAGATCCTCAGCAGAAGGAATCATGAAGTCCTCTAAAACATTCTGGTAGACTGTTGCTGTGACCTTGTATTTAAGAAAGCAGAGTTTACCAACACCTGCACGTGACGTTGCACAATTAAAACGGCTACGCTGCCAATATTTATGCATTACACGGTTATTTACATTGAATTTTAGTTATTTGGGAGCACAACATTTGCAGGTAAGTGAAGCAGTTCTGGAGCAGAGGCACACTTCCTGCAGGATTATCATGAGTTAGTGGGAGAGATCATTTATCTCCAGTTTTAGCTTCTCTCCACTGGATCCCTGTCAAATTCAGAATACAATTTAAAATCTTACTTCTAACATTAAAGGCACTTAGCAACCTAGCTCCATCTTATATTAAAGATCTTATTACATATTCTACAAACAGAGCACTCCCCCCTCAGACTGCAGGTTTACTTGTGGTTCCTAGAGTTTATAAAACCGAACGGGAGGCAGAGATTTCAGTTGTCAGGCTCCTCTCTTTTGTGGAATCAACTTCCAGTTTCTGTTTATGAGGCTGACACATTGTCCAGTTTTAAGATTAGCCAAGACTTTGCTTTTGATAAATCCTATAGTTAGGATCAGCTTACAAACTGATCACATCTCCTCACTTTGTTGCTGTCTTTACTTACTTTACTGTTCATTATATGTACGAATTTAACATTAACACGCTTTTATTTGCCTTTCTACCCATAGAAACCACACCTGGACCATATAAACTACTCTTGGACCATAGTAACTGCTCCTGGGTGATAAAAATTACTCCTGGACCATAGAAAATACACTTGAACCATGGAAACTACAGCTGGACTATAAAAACTACTCCTGGAAAATATAAATTACTCCTGGACCATAGAAAATGCACCTGAACCATAGAAACTACAGTTGAAATCATAGAAATTACCCCTGGACAACTACTCCTGAACCATAGAAACTACAGCTGCACCATATAAACTATGCCTGAACCATAGACACCACTCCCGGACCATAGAAATTACTCTTGGACAACTACTCCTGAACCATGGAAACTACAGATGCACCATAGAAACTATAAGTGAACCATAGAAACTACAGTTGGACCATGGAAACCATACCTGAACCATAGAAACTACTCCTGGACCATATAAATTACTCCTGGACTATTTAAACTATGCCTGGACCATAGAAAATACACCAGAACCATATTAACTATAGAGCTGGACTATATAAAATACACCTGAACTATAGAAACTACAGCTGGAGCATAGAAACTACTCCTTGACCATATAAAATATACCTGAACAATAGAAACTAGAGCTGGACCATAGAAACTATACCTGAACCATAGAAACAACTCCTAGACCATTAAACTATGCCTAGACCATAGAAACCACACCTGGGCCATAAAAAATACATTTGAACCATAGAAACTACAGTTGGGACCATAGAAACCACTCCTGAACCAAATAAATTACTTCTGGACCATGTAAACTACTCCTGGACCATATAAAATGCACCTGAACCATAGAAACTACAGTTAGACCATAAAAATTACTCCTGGGCCATTTAAACTAGGTCTGGACCATAGAAAATGCACCTGAACCATAGAAACTACAGTTGGACCATAAAAATTACTCCTGGACAACTACTCCTGAACCATGAAAACTACAGATGTGCCACAGAAACTATACCTGAACCACAGAAACTACTCCTGGACCATAGAAATTACTCCTGGACCATAGACAATACATTTGAACCACAGAAACTACTCCTGGACCATAGACAATACATCTGAACCATAGAAACT